TTTGGAAGTTTGAGATTTCAGCTTTCTAATGAAGTAATGTGCGTCGTAATTGAACCTTTCCTTGTCGCACAATAGACGTCTCTTAATTACGCCCGATTGCATGACTTTTGACCACCGAGTGTAGACTACATGTATATCGATATGGCGATCAGAAATTCCACATCACGTGACACGAACATAGCGGTTCCCTAACGAACAACAAAATAACACAATGGTAATACATGTACATGTTTGTTTATTATTATTATCATAACGATAAACGAGTAAATCACGAAGCAAATTCAGATACGTTATTTTTTTTCCCATTTTGTTCGAATTGAATTTCAATCAATATTATAACGATAACGATAATATTTTAAATTATGCGCGATTGGTATTGGATCGTTTCGGAAACTGGATACGTGCTCGATGTTGCTGGATTTGGAACAGCACCAGGAACACCCGTAACCTTGTATACTCTTAATAATCAACTTGTAAGCTCAAAAATAAAATTTAAACTATTTTACAATGAGTCAAGTAAAAATATTATCATATCCTTTAATAAATTACTATAGCGACCTTTTAATCAACTTTGGAGATTGGATGGCAAATATATTGTTAGTAAACAAACTGGATTTGTATTGACATTAAAGGGTTGTAAGTGGTTCGAAATTATTTTCTAAGGATGTGGATTTTCTGTTTAGAAAAGCTAATAAAATTTTTAATTAATATGCAGGTCCGATTAATGGTAACTTTTTTTTATTTTTTTCATTAAAAATAACAATAATTTTTTCTTATTATTATATGCTATAGGTTCAACTTTTGTGATTAGACCAAAGAATCCCAGCGATAAAGGTCAAATATGGACATATGATCCGAATAACTATACATTAACTAGTGCTCTTCCATTTTATGTCGCAACTGTATTGGTGAATAATAATATGTTAACTTTTGCTCTTTGTTAGATTATTAACTGACCTGTCTTTATATTCCTTATAAACACAGAATACTACTATAAATATTATATCTAATCCAAATGCATTGGGTTTGAAACATCTTGAAAATCCCGTCCATAAATCGCAGAAATGGATTTTTGTTAAATGTTCAGGATTTATTGAAGAAGTTAATGAGACAGAATTTGTAGACAGATCTAAAATTTAATGAATGTATCTATCCTAAATATTGTGTTTTAACTTTAAATATAAAAAACGGGTTTATAGATAAAATGTTTTATTAAAGTTCACGTAATAATGTGTCACGACCATAAAAAGAAAATTAGCGTATACGAGCTTTTCGAATAAGAAATAACGCGTAATGCATATCGATGTTACCTTAAAACATGTAATCATTAGACACACCACTACAAATAAATTACCGGAATATCAGTAAAATAATATGAAATTACTCTATATATAAGGTTTTTAATTTTATTAATAAATAACTTTTATTTTTATATTAAAAATAAAGATAATAATCTATAATTTCACAAATATTTTAAGAGAGTTGCTCTAATTGAAAATTTTTTTGTTAATTAAGATACAAATTTAACTAGTAAAAAAATCAAAAACTTTATATAGAAAGAAAATTCCGTAATTTTATATTGACATTCCGGTAATTTGTTGTAAAGGGGTGCTATTTTTTTCCAATGGTGTAAATTAGATTTCGACATTAATATGATTATGAAGAATCAGCATTTTACAAAAAAAGCATTATCTTGATGATGAAACAACCAAAACAATATTCTGTTTAATTAAAAGGCATTGACAACTGTTTTTTACTTTAATGTTAAAAATTTTAATTTGTTAGTTATACGTTTATCACCTCTGCTTAGAACACAGAGATATTAACGTTAATAAAAAATTTTATGAAATACCAAATAAATTATTAATGTTATCATGTTTATTTATTTGTCAAAATGAATTTTAGACATCATCCGATCTCCGATATATTATTAAATATTAGATTTAATATCATTTGAATATGACATACAAATGATCCTTTTGTTCCTGTATGATTTGGGAATTTTGTAATATTTGTAGTGTGTATTGTACTTACAAACTGTATTCGTGACCATCACGACTATATGTATAAATATATGCGTATTATTTAAAAATTGCTGATTTTATCGCAATGTGAACAAGTCACAAGTGTTTAATGTTTTTTGTTATCAGTAGATGTATTAGATAAAGTTGAAATTAAACCGGAAAACACAATATCTTACATAATTCGTAAATAAGGGAGAAATTTGTTAATAAAAAATTTTTCTATATATGTAGTATATGCATTTCTTATAGACTACATGTAATAGGTTTGAATAATAAAAACATATGAAAATAAATAAGCAGTTTATTATAGATACAGCATCTAGACAAACAATTTCATAAAATTAATATATATCTAAATATTAATGCTACTGTATAGATAATAAAGATTGCACAATTTTTTAATAAATTTAATAAATTAAAAATTATAATGAAAATGGATAAAATATGACTAAAAATAAACATGATTGTTATATAATATTTTAGACAAACCTTAAAAACTTTTTTACTTTATTATATTATAATTACTTATATTAATCATTTCACGAAATCTTTATTAACTTAATAAATTTTGTGTAATCATAATTCTAACTAATTGCCATTATAAATCATAGTTCTATAGTATTCTTTATAAAAATTTAAACCATAATTTTAATTTTAGAATAGAAATTAATAATTAAAGTTTTTAAAAAATTACATTTTTTTATTTTATTTTTTTGTGAACCAAATATTTAGTTCTACTTAAAAAAAATGTTACGATTAAAATTGAGATTTAATTTTTGAAATCAAAATTATCATGAATCGCGGTTTATCTATCATTTTCTTAAAAAAAATAATTTTAGAATAGAAATTTAACTTTTAATTTGTATTCTTTATAAATTTGGAATTTATTGTTTAATAATAAAATCAGATAATAAGAGAATCTATATTTATATAATTTAATAGTAATTATTTTTATATAAGAAAAATTTTTCTGGTCTTATAAAGAGATATTGACTATAATTTAAATCTTAGATAAATTTATCCGAAATATAAATTAAGAGAGATAATAATAATAATTGTTGATATTATAAGTTTTCATGAAACTGGTTTTATTTTCAAAAATTACTAATTACAGTGGTGTGTGAAAAAAATAACAATTAGTTTTTTGATTAATGAATTGAATAGTTATTCAAATAATATAAGCATTTATATATATATATTCTTTAATATCTAGAGAACAAGTTTATTTAAGATTATAAAATAAAAAATCTTAATAAAATTTTTCATAAATTTGCATTTTATATTCAAAATTCAGCTTGTAAAATTATTACAAAAATTTATATATGATTTTTTATTAAATATATAGTCAAAAAAATAATTTAAATTATATTTTACTTTATTATATAATAACAAGCATTGAATTTTTATAAAAACTTAATGGTAAATCTGGTAAGTGGATTTTTATCTGGATTTATCTTAATAATATTGGGTTGAGAGAGACTGAATTAATTAATGAATAAAGAGAGAGAAATTAAATTATAACTTTAATACTAACAAAAATTTCTAAGACCTGTATCAATATCTATGAATATTGTCTTTAAAGAGGCAAAATATAAAAGAAAAGAATAATATAAATTAAAAGAATTATAATAATTAATAAGTGAAGTTACTATCAATCAAGTACAATTAAGATTTATGATGATTAATAAGTAAAGTTACTATTAATCAAAGAAAACTATAATTAAAAAATATAATAACTCATATAAATAAAAATATAAATCAAAATAATCAATTAAAAAGTATAATAACTAATATACACAAAAATATAAATCAAAAATATAACTTATTTTAAGTAGAGATCTTTTACTAAAATATATTAAAAAGAATTAACTATTAAATTTATGTTTTCCAAGTCTGAATTTATTTTATTTGAGAGAGTAGATCCTTTTATATATTTTTCAATTATATAAATTATTAAAGTATTATTAATTAGTTCTATTTAATATACAGTATGTGACAAAAAAACTTAACCATTTTCTGATTATATTAGATAATAAATAAATATCTTCAATTTTAGCTTAATTTATACTATTTTTTACTGAATTAAAA